AACCAAAAAAGGAGTAAGTAATTTTGTAATCTACAATTCTCAAGACTGTTTAATGATAGACTAATTACAAAAACTCTGGCTCCAAATAAAAAATTAAGTACAGAAAATTACTTTTAAGCAAATAAAAGACTTAAATGGATCCAAACAGAAATAATACATTTCTTTCTTTTCATCATACAAATTATACTTCAATTATTGCTCAAAATTAACTGATTTCCAAGATGATGGCTTACTATTACCCAGATATTAGCCTCCCCACTAGACCCTAATTAAAAAGCAGCAAAGTATATGACATAAAATAAATCCACAGCACCAAAGTGAATAGGAAAGGAATCATTAGCTGACATTTCAACAAATTTCTAGAAAAAATGCAGATAATAAGGAACTACAGATAGTGAGGAAGATTTAAAATAGAGGGATTAACTCACAGAACAGCTTTGCACGTGGCCCTGCTCAGCACCCCTTAGCTTAACTGCAGGCTCTCCAACAAACTGGCCAACAGCACATCCTATTCATATAGAGAGATCCTAATTTGTTCTCCTACTCAGAAAAAGCAGAGGAGTTACCTGAACAATAACAGCAGTAATACTCAACCATTACCTAGTGCTTCATTTGTAAATGTAGACAACCAAGGATCAAAATCAGTAGCAAGAAGAAAAACATGTCAAACAAAAATAAGTGACCAGGGAGGAAAGAGATAATCCAATTCACAGAAGAGGAATTTAAAAAGAAAACCTTAAATATTATCCTCAGAGTAAAGAAAATAATGCATCCTGAAAATAGAAACACACTGAATAAAATATCTGTACAAAAAGATTTCTTAGAATTAAAAGTATGACTCATGCCTTTAAAATGTCACTATTGTGATGGAGAAAATAGTCAAGGTAATTTCACAGAATGAAAAAAAAAAAAAAGAAAACAAGAGACCAAATAGCTCAACATTCCAACTAGAGAGAACAAAGAAAGTGGAGCAAAGAAAAGGTATGGAATAAAGTAAGTTTCCCAGAGCTAAATAAACATCCTGCTTTAAAATAAAAGGACCCACACTTATAACAGCTAGAATTATTGACAAAATAGCCATATCTAGAGCTATCACCATGTAATTTCAGAAAACCAAGATAAAAGAATTCCAAAAGCTTCCAGAGACAAAAAAAAAAAAAACCCAGTTACCAAAAGAAAATAACTGTGACTGGCATTAGACAAACAGTAACAATACTGGATGCTAAAAAATGGAACAATATAATTTCCAAATTCTGAGGAAAAAGTGTTAAACCAGAATCCTATACCTATCCTAACTATCATCCAAGCATGCGACAGTTATTTTCAAACACACAGGAGTCACATAGTTTACCTCCTGCCATCTTTTCTGAATAAATTACTTAAGGATGTTCTCCAACAAAATGAAGAAACCAAGAAAAGGAAATATGTGACCCAAGAAGCTGGATCTAAATCTAGTGAATTCCGAGGATATCAGCTGCACATCTTAAGAGCAGAGTTCCTGGGAAGAAAGTAGACTTACGTAACAGATACTATGATTACATACCGTTAGAGGTTTTTAAGATATACTGAAGGAAAGTATTTCTTTAGTCAACAAAAAATAGTCTTTTGTCCCTAAAAGACTATTTAGGGACAAAATTATACAAGGAACATCAAGAGTTGAAATATGAAACAAAGTAAAATGGGGCATGTTTTAAGCAATGATGGCATGTTAGAAAAAAATACAGTAGCCCACCTTATCCACAGCTTCACTTTCTAAGGTTTCAGTTACCCAGTCAACCACAATCTAAAAAAATTAAATGGAAAATTCCAGAAATAAATATTTTGGGTTTTTAAATATATTTTTATTGATTTTTAGGGAGAGGAAGGGAGAGGGTGCACAGGATGACAACCAATGGAGCCACTGGTCAGGGCCAGAAATAAGTTTTAAATTGCAAGCCATTCTGAGTAAATGTGATGAAATCTCACACTTCCTGCTCCACCGCACCTGGGATATAAATCATCCCTTTGTCCAGGGTTTCCACGCTATATACAGTACCTACCTGTTAGTAGCTTAGCCCTCTCAGTTATCAGATCAACTGCAAAGTATCGCGGTGCATGTGTTCATGTAACCCTTATATACTTAATGGCCCCAAAATGCAAGAGTAGTGATGCTGGCAATTCAGATGTCAAAGAGAAGCTGTAAAGTGCTTACCTTAAGTGAAAAGGTGGAAGTTCTTGACTTAATAAAGAAAAAAAATCTTATTTTGAGGTTGCTAACCTCTACAATAAGAACAAACCTTTCATCTGTGAAACTGTGAAGGAAAAAGAAACCTGTGCTAGTTTTGATGCCTAACCTCAAATTGCAAAAGTTGCAGACATAGTGTGTAATCAATTAAGATGGGAAAGCCATTAAAATTTATGTGTGGAACACAGAAAACCTTCTGATTGATGGCAACATGTTGCACAAGAATGAACTGAGCCTATATGAAGACTTCAGTAAGCCCTACCTTATAAGGGTGGACTACTTTACATCTAATCCTGACAATAGGAATATATGTACAGATTTAAGAAAACTATACTCCCAGGACACTACTCAGCATCTCAGATTATTTTCAGTTGTCAACCCCTCAGACCTTTCTTAACCACACATTTGCTTTACCCTGCTTTATTTTTATTCCCCTAGCATCCGTTAATATTCAACATTAAATCACAACATTTCATTTATTCTAATACACACATTCTTCACACTTTAATCCCATTGAAACCAGCATGCATCTCACAATCCATACACAGCATTTTACTACAGTCAGTCAGGTGGCAGTCTTGTCACTGGGTGAAAAACCTTCAATGGATACCCTCTGGAAAGATTTTTTAAAAAGCACCAGCATCAAAATGCCTCAGATTAAATGAAATACAGCATTTATTTGTTTGCTGGGTATCTCCCCTACTGCACTCTGCACTCTCAGAAACTTAAGGGTAGTAACTTTTTTTTTTTTGTAATCTTTGTATCCTCCACACACAGAACAGTGTCTGGCATGTAACTGACACTTAATCAGTGCTACATTTTAACATCTCTGAAACTAGGATGGGTCCAACAGGGTAGTTCCTACATAATTGGCCCTGATGTGTGTTTTCTTCTTCTTAGTAGTACACTTAACAGTGGTGAATCATACAAACAATGGCATCTAAGATTTGAAGAAATTCAGTAACAAAAAATTTGGAGGAAGATGGAAACAGTAGTGTGAATGCATGGACTCATTTCAAAACATGACTCCAAAGGTTTGTAAATCCAAGAAACAGAAATACAAGCTCATGATTTTTTAAAAGATTTTATTGATTTTTAAACAGAGAGACAGAGAGAAAAACATTGATGTGAGAGTAAAACATTGATGGGCTGCCTCCTGCACACCCCCTACCTGGGATGGAGCCTGGAAACTCATGCATGCTCCCCTGACCCGGGAATCCAACCGGCAACCCTTCAGTGCAGAAATGATGTACAACCAACTGAGCCACACAGGCCAGGGCAGCTTATGATTATTTTTTGAGTTATGGAACTAAATACTTAAATAAAAACAAAAAGGGCTAAACGTAACTGTCTCCTGGAGACTATTTTAGTTTTTCACTATAAACCAGTCTGTATTTTTAAAATATATTTCATTTTTACCAAGTGTGCATACCTTTTTTATGAACCGTTTTTATGAGTACTTAATAAGAGGGGAAAGTACAGACTCATACATCCAAAATCAGAAACTGAGACAGGGTCATTCACACGGATACAGATAGAATGACATCCAGGAGCAGAGTCAAAGTCAAAATCGATTTTCATTTGGCAAAATTTCAATTGGCAACAGGGGATGGAGATCGTGAATTCTAGATTCAATTTATCAAATCTCTAAAGACTGACATCAACACTAACTTGCCTAATGATGAGAATTATGCCATTTGCTCATCAGAAAGTCAAGGTTGGACCAGCAAAGGCTTGCAAGTTTACCCTTGTACACTGGAACAAAAGTCAGGCCCTTGGAAGGAAAAATTACCTCCCCCTCGCCATAACACTCCACATTTACACAACATCCTTTCGCCTGCCCTGGCCTGTCATCACAATGACAGACGCGGGCAATGAGCATGGTCTCTTTCCATTACCAGAAAGACCGACCATTATTATGGGGGTGCAAAAGCTGGGGAAGGGATTGCAACCTGGGGCGGTATGAGGTTCACGGATCAGAAAACGGTGGCCACGACAGGCAAAAACCCAGCTTGTGAGTCCCGTGCAAAGAAGCACCCCAGGGCCCCGCTTGTCTCCGCAGAAAGGGCATCTTTCCCCGGTGAAAGCTAAGGAGCTCGAAAACCCTACTGGCCCTGGGCGGGCAGACGCGCGCAGTTCAGACCCCGCCCCTCCCTCCTCGCTCAAGGCAGGCGCAGAAAGATCGCAAAATGTCACAGGGCCAAGACTAAGCGCGCCAAGGCGGGACCCACCCCCGGGAGACCGGGACATTTAAGGCAGGTCCCTCCCCTTCCTCCTTCCTCCGCCCGGCGCAAAACTCATTCATTCTTGAAGCGGGCGGCAAGTCCCCGCGGGCTGGCCATCTCCGCACCGCGAACCCACCAGACGCTTTGTCTCGCGCCAGGCCGGAGCCCGGGGCGCGCATTCCAGCGCGCGCCCGCGCGCCACCTCCCCGCACCTGGGGCCCGCCGGGCCTCGCCGTGGGACAGCCTTTCTCTCTCCCAGGGTCTGGGCCCGAAGCCCGGCGCTCCTGCAGCCCTGGGCGGGCACCTCCCCCGGCCCCGCTGGGAATCCAGGCTCAGGAAATGTACATGCAGTCCCACCAAGCCCCCTCCGCAGCCCCCGCGCGCACTAAGAAACACTAGATTCTCTCTCCTTCCGAGACCGAGACCCTGCCCCAGACGAAGGGCGTGGGCGCGCTGGCCCTCGCTCTCCCCCTCCGGGGTTCTCGAGGCCGCCGCGGGCTGCGCCCCCGGCCCCCGGCGCGCGCTAACGTGGCGCCCAAGTGAGCACTCACTTGAGGAGCAGCTGGTCGTGCTCGGCCTTGAACTTGCCCAGCTCTATCTGCAGCTTGGCGCGCTCGCGGGCGGTGTCGTCCAGCGCGCGGCGCGCATCCGCCAGCTCGGTCTCGTAGAGCGCCTTCAGGCCGGTGAGCTCTCGGCCGCGCACCTCCTCCCGCTCGGTCACCTGCAGCTGCAGCGCGCTGTTCTCCGTCTCCAGGCTGCGCACCTTGTCGATGTACACCGCCAGCCGATCGTTGAGCTCGCGCAGCTCCTCCTTCTCCTGCAGCCGCGACAGCCGCGTGGGGCTCAGCG